GGGGGAACCAGGGGGAGCCAAGGGGCCAGCTTCTGAGTCTGTTCATAAACCATGACTGCCAGCTGCCCAGAATGACACAGGGCAAGATTCCCATTTCAGGACATAACAGTAACTGGGGCCACACCAGCTTTCCTGCCTCGGATAACCACTGAAATGAGCGCAGCACACATCCAGTAGACAAGAGGCTTCAAGAGAGCAATGGCTGAGGAAACATGGGAGATTCAGGAAGTAATTCTAGGATAAAGCTGTGGATCAGACTGTTAAATGGGCATACACAACCCAGTGAAGAAAAACTAGAAATAGAATAAACAAGAAAAAAATTATTTAAAAAAATTTTGTTTCTCTAAAAGCTAAAGCAAGAACTATTAATAGTCTATTTTGTGTTATCTTATGCATAAGTAAACATGACAAAAAGGGATGGGATTAGTACAAGAGCCTCACACTCCAGACAAAGAAGTGTAGTGCTGAAAATAAACTCATTCTGGTAAGACAAGCATTAGGACTATGAGGGCCATCATTTAGCTTTCTAAAAAGGGCATAAATAAAAATTAAAAGGCCCAGTTAGCCTGGTACCCTCATGAAGAAAGCACATGACACAGTTCTATAGTAGAGATTGATTTTTTGAAAACATACTGGACATATGTTTCGAATCTTGTTCAAGGTATTACCTATACCGCTCATTTAACAATGTAATACAAATTTCTAGTCCTTGAAAGTTATTATTACAAACTACATAAGATAATAAAGAAATGTAGGTTAGTAATTAGTCAACTATTACAATCAAACTTGTAGTCATATTAGGCATGTTATCAAGACCAAACAGATATAATTTAGATAGGTCATCTTCAAACACTTTAGAGATCTACAGAGTATGGCATTTAAGATGTGTTAATAACATAGGTTCTTTTTTTAATGACAATGAGACATGTCTGCTCCTGGTAGCACCAATCTACTTGAGAGAAGAGGATGGGCATTGAAGGAAACTGAGATGGAATTTACTTTCTTTGTAGCAAAAGTAGCCACTGGGCAAAAAGTACCCTTGCCTCAACTGCTGTCCAAACTGGACAAACAGGACACAAAAGAGAGTGACTGCAAAATTCTGCCAAGACAAGGCAGGACAGCCCTTCAGAAAATCCTGCTTCACAGAAAAGTCTGTCAGAGATGCTAGGCCTATAGGCTGAAGATGGATGCCCAACGTTGTAGAGGAACCTTGGGTTCCTCAGGCAGTTAGCTGTTTTTGTCACTTCTCACATTTTTTGGAAGTTGCTTGCTCTCACTTCCTGTTTACTCAGTTAATATTATTTCCTTCTCGGGTCTCTGAGGGAGTTGAAGACTAGATAGAATAGTTATAGTTTTCTTTGTTTACCAGATTCAGAAAACAAACTCAATAAAGATGTGTAAAGTGTGAAAGTATGAGAGATATTAAAAGGTAATTTGATAATTAGAATAGAAAATAAATTACATACAAGACTTTAGACTCACCAGGACAGGCTAGATAATGGAGTATTTTCTCTGAATTTGTCAAATGCTAATGGACTAGACATTGTTGATGTACTTATTGCTGTATACATTGTGTATACTTATTGTACTTATTGTATGCAGTTTTTCTTATGTTGGTTGCAGCCTTCTTTTTGTACTTTATAAAAAAAGGGGAATTGTGGTGATATATTACTTATAACTTATTAAAGCTTGCCTGAGGATTCACAAAGCAAAGCCAGCCACAAGCTATAGAGGTAGGGCGGCAGTGATATACACCTTTAATCCCAGGACTCATGATTAAGAGGTAGACAGATCTTTGTTAGTTCAAGGCCACAGTGACTACACGAAATTGAATCACTAGGGAGCTAGAGAAAGGAGTGATTTGGCTGTGTGGAGAAAGGAATAAAAGGCAGAAGGAGACAGGAACTGAGAGCTTTTGCCTCTGAGGATTCGTGAGACAGGATTGCCATTTCAGCTGGGTAGAGGTAAGATCTACGGGCTTGGCTGCTTTGCTTCTCTGATTTCAGCTTGAACACCAGTATCTGTCTCTGGGTCTTTTATTTTTCATGCTACAGGTCAGAGAATACTACGGGTGCATAGTAAAACAGGTATAGACCGAAAAACCTTTAAACAGATTACCGTGTGCATAGATGCTTAAGAAAGAAAAGAAAATGGATATAGACAGTCATAGGAAAAGATAGTTTAAAAATAAGTAAAGTCTTTAAAGAAAGAATAGACAGCAGCTGAGAAAATGGGATTGTAAAAGGAACTGCTGAATTAGACCAGTCTTCATACTTTAGGGATGTCTTAATTTTAAAATGGAATTCAGAAAATGTATTGTGTTGAGGGAGAAGTTATGTTTTTGTTTCCATTGGAAATGCAAGGCTGTGGATTCCTTCAAAGTAAAAACCAGATTTGACTCCCTGATAATCTTGGCTAGGGACATAAGCCTAGAAAAACTAAAAGACTGTTTACATATATGTTTACATACATATTTACATACATACATACATACATACATACATACACACAGTTGACATAGATGACAATCCCTTGACATACAGGAACACCTCTGAGACTGGGTGAGACAAAATAAATCTTGTTGGTTACAGAGCCCTCATGACTTATTATTACATGCTATCCTTTCAAATGGCAAGGATAGAGGTTTGGTTATACAGTACAAACTTAAAAAGTTGACAGATGTCTTTTACTTGCTCAAATATAAAACAAAAAAATCACCTTTGGCTGGCTTGTGTGCAATGCACAGTCCATATCTGTGTTAATGCAGACATGTATGTTACCTTTGTTAGTTTGTGTGTTTTCAGAGTAAGGAGACCAGACACTAATGAAATCACAGGTGGCCCAGGTGATCCAACCTGTCAGAGTGCCCCTGTTTCAGTCTCCTCAGAGTTCTGCATCCCGAACAACTTCAAGGCTGCTAGCTGAAATGGTCTAGTCTCACAGACTATTCCAGCCAGAATGTCAGATAAGCCTCGTACTTTTCCATTACACAGAGACTGAAAAACCAATGTTATAGCTAGTTTTCTTAGGACTTGACCATTATCTCAATTTTCTCAGGGTCCCCTGGGGATGTTATTGACCCTAGACAACAGGAAGCATTCTAGAGAACACAATGCCCACATTCCCAAGAGGTGGGGTGGGTGGTTTTTGGTCATTCAGTAGCTCATGATGTTTGTCATCATTTAGTGGGGATATAGGAATATAGGATATAAAAACAACTATTCATCTCAAATAGTTTATGTTGGTGTGGATTTGTGTATATTGATACAAACTTAAGGTTATTTTTGTTATACCATATATATGTTTCTTCTCTTATTTAAGGTATTGTACCTATGCAGCTCATTTAAGAATATAATGCAAAGTTTTAGTCCTTGAAAGCTGTTATTATAAACTGTTTAGGATAATTAAAAAATTGCAGGTTAGTAGTCATCTATAATGACTTATAGTCATGTTAGGTATGTTTTCAAGGTTAAACATATATTTTGGATAGATAGGTGATCTTCAAACGCTTCAGAGACCTTCAGAATATAGCATTTAAGACGTTTAATGTCCTAAGGCTTTTCATGACAGTGAGACATGTCTTCTTCTGGCATCACCAATCTACTTCATAAAAGGATGATGGGCATTGAAGAACCTTCATATGGAGTTTGCTTTTATTGTGGCAAAGCTTGCCATTGGGCAAGGAACTGCCCTTGCCTTGACTGCTGAGAGTATGCTGTCCAAATTGGACAAGCAGGACACAAAGGAAAAAGACTGCCAAACTTTGCCAAGACAAGGTACAACAGTCTTCAAAATTCCTGCTTCACAGAAAATTCTGTCAGATATTCTAGGCCGGTAGACCGAAGTTGGATGCCAGATGTCTCTGTCATTTCTATAGTTTTGGAAGTTGCTTGCTTTGCAATTCCTGTTTACATAGGTAATACTCCTTCTTGTGACTCTGATGGAGTTGAAGATGAGATAGTTATAGTTTTCCTTATTACCAAATTCAGAAAAGAAACACATAAAAAATGTAAAGTTTATAAGGTTGAGAAGCATAAGAGTTGAAATTGTTTATCTAAGAAAATGTTTTGAGGTCTAAAAACATAATTTGGGGTTGGTAATACAAGTTAGGATAGAAAGTTAGAAAGTACATTAGGTACACAACAAGATAGGATAGATAATGGAGTATTTTGTCTGCCAAATTCAAATAGGCTGGATAGTGTAGTAAATGTAATTCTTTTCTTGGGGGGGGGTTTCGAGACAGGGTTTCTCTGTGGCTTTGGAGGCTGTCCTGGAACTAGCTGTGTAGACCAGGCTGGTCTTGAACTCACAGAGATCCTCCTGCCTCTGCCTCCAGAGTGCTGGGATTAAAGGTATGCACCACCACTGCCTGGTTGTAAATGTAATTCTTACTTGATAATTGTTCTTATTGTATATTTAAAGCTAGAACCTTTCTTTTTATTTAGACAAAAAAAATGTTGTGGAATATTTGTTTATGCAAAGATGTATTGCATTTGCTTAACTATGTAAAGAAGTGCTGCACTTGTTTAATTATGTAAAGATGTGTTGCTGTTTTACCTTGCCTGCTTATGAAACCTGATTTGTCTAATAAAAAGCCAATAGTGAGGGAGGAGGTATAGGTAAGACTTCTGGGCAGGGAAATTAAGTAGGAAGAATAATTTAGGCTCAGAAAGAAAGGAAAAAAGAAAGGGAGATGACAGGCACCAGTCAGCCAGACATGGAAGAAGCAGGAAAGTAGGACATACAGAATGAAAGAAAGTAAAAAGCTCAGTAATAAACTGTAGACCAAGAGAAACAGATTAAATTAAGTTAAAACTGCTAAGCTAAGGCCGAGCATTCATAGTTACCAAGTCTCCATGTTTTTATTTGGGAGTTGGTTGACGGCCCAAAGAAAATCCCAACTACATACCCACAGTAACGGTCACTGAAATGTGAAGCATGTAAAGCTATCATCTGGAGTCACATTGTCAGGTGGGTACAAAGCTAGACCCTCTTTGCAAGAAACTCACTCTAAATACAAAGGCAAAGCACTCATAAGAAATATGACCTATAAACTTGCATAAAACGAAAGCTGGAATGGTGTTTTAGTTCATTCTGTGCTGCTATCTAAAATATGCCTGGATGCTTTATCAAGAAATGAGGCTTATAGTGCTGGAGAGATGGCTCAAAGGTTAGGAGCTCCTGATGGACATCCAGCTCCAGGGTTTCCTCAGAGGGTACCAAGCACACACATAGTGCACATACATACATGCAGGCAAAACACCTTTACATATAAAGTATAAGTGTGGGTGTGCATATACATATATATGCGCACACACACACACACACACACACACACACACACACACACACACACACACACATTTTAAGAAGAAAGGAGGCTCAGTTAGCTCTCAGAGTTGGCACCCCGGTGAGAGCCTTACCTGGCTGCACTTAAACATGGTGTGAAGAGAACAAGCCAAGCACAGGAAAAGCATATGTGCAAGCTAAGAAAGAAAACAATAGAGGCTCTTTTCATGAGAATCCTCTCTTGCAGAAACTCATCCATTCCTATGGGATCTGACTCATCAGGCCCACCTCTTAATGGCTCAATGACACCAAGTTCACAGCAAATGGGCCTTCAGGACAACAAACACCCTACTCAAGCTATATGAATTCAGACAGAAGCATACCTTAGAACAATAAACTGGATCAGGAGTTGAGGGAGATTACATGACAACAGAAGAAGCAATTTTCTGGTATAATGTATAGTATTAATTTGGCCAGTTTATGACAGACGGTGGAGTCAGTTATCCTCATTAAAATGAAAAGCATTTAAATGATATACAGGTAAATTTTAGAAGTAGTATGCTTCATCATTTCTATAATGGGCAGAAAAACCCCACTTTTCAAATTTACAAGAGATGAAGAAGGATGAAGGTGAGCTGGTTCTCTACGGGTTCTACACCCACTCCTCTTCTGGCGCGAGTGGAAGCAGGCTCTCAGTGCCCAGTGTCAG